TCGATCTCTTTCCCTTCTTTTACCCTAGTCGCCGTTTTCATCTGCACAACTTCAAAGTCGCTCTTAGTTCTTTCTCCTTGATTCAATCTCTGTAATTTCTCCAGTTATTGTTCTCAAATTTCTTGAATTCTTCCATCATCATTCTCCAATCCATTTAGTTCTCTCTAATTTCTTTGTACCTAACACACACTTGACGATGAGAGATCCTAAATTACCTAAGCGAGTTTTTCGTTATGGTTGCGAGCCCGTCAAGAGCAAAGTTAATGTCTTCATCAAATACTACCGCGCTATTATGAAGTTTTAGGACAAAAATCCTCCGCAGAAGAAAATCCTCTTTAAATCTCAGTTTGGAAAACTACTCAATGATGGGTTCAAGGTCTCGACTTCGGCCGTTTTTCTGCATTATCTTCTTTCTCGTCAGTTGGAAACTACAAAGTAACACGAAATTTGGATCATTTTTAGCGGAAACCATTCCGATATTCGCTACTTGAGTTTGGTGTGGCAAAGGAATGAATTGCTCGAATCTTCCTGCTAAATCTACAGTAGGATCTGGGGAAGGTGGCGAAGAGGACATAGTTAACTATGTTCGAAAACCAGTATAGTAGGTAACTATGTTTCTGATAATAGTTAACTATGTTTGAAAACTAGTATAGTATAATTGGTAAATATGTTTTTGATAATAGTTAACTATGTCGATCTTAATTTTTTCATTTTACAAACTATAATAGTTAACTATATTTGTTTAAATAAATAGCTATTACAATAGTAGTTAACTATATTTGTTTAAATAAGTAACTATTACAACATATTTGTTTTCTTGTAATCAACTATGTATTAAAATCAATAGAATTGATAAATATGCTCTGAAAATAGTTAACTATATTTCTTTAATTTACAAATAGTATGCATAGTTAACTATGTTATTAAATAGTTAACTATTACAACATATTTGTTTTTTGTTTAATTTTGTCATCTTTTTCATTTTTTTTTGGTGCAGAACATACATCTACTTTTTACAGAAATACAATCGCAGGAGCAGTTTTTCGAGTGATTAATTCAAGAAAAGATTGTTAGGGATTTTTTTAAAGGATTTTTACTATTTTTCTTAAAAAAATGATTGTCATATCATAGTTTTTTACTACTTTCCCTAAACAATTTTATAAGGACAAATTTATCCAGAATTTTCTTCTCTCTCTTAGATACCTAAATTTTATTATGGACATAGTAGTTACCTAAATACCTACCCCAAAACTAATATTAAGCTAATTAAACCTTAATAAAATGTATTATATTATTTTGCCGAAATTCATGAAA